ACCATGTCAACCCCTGCAACTTCATTGGTGTCAAAGATCATGTGACATCACTTCCTGGTATGATACCATTTCCTGCTATGTCTTTGAATATGACTTGCCAGCCCACTGGTTATAAAAGTTTGTGATCTGGCCCCACATTCAAAAAGGTTGGACACCCCTGATCTAAAGCAATCTACCCTCTGTCATATCCTCCCTGGTATCTACCATCATTGCCTTAGAGATGCCAAAGAGTACATCTGTGCTTGTTCTTTTTAATGGTTATAAATAGATCTATCATTCATGAATCTGTCTAGTCCCATTTTATATGTGGCTATACTAATCTGCCTCTACAACCTCCTGTGGTAATGAGATTTGCAAATTAACTATGCATTGTATAAAAAGTACTTTCTCTTGTTAGTTTGAAACTATCTCTTGCCAATGTCAGTGGGTGCTTCTTAGTTCTAGTATTCTGGGACTTGGTGAATAAATTCCCTATTCACTTTGTCCACACCCTTCATGATTTTATAGACTTCTGTCTTATCCCCTGACACCTACAGCCTTCTTTTCAAACTGAAAAGTCCTAGCCGTTTTAGTCTCTCCTGGTATGGCAGTTGCTCCATTCCCCTGAACATCTTGGTTGCTCTTCTCTGTGCCTTCTCTAATTCTACCACATCTTTTTGAGATGCAGGGACCAGAACTGCACACAATATTAAGGCTTGAGTGCACCATAGATTTGTATAATGATACAATGATGTTTTCTGTTTTATTTTCAGTTCCCTTCTTAATGATGCCCAACATTTTAACTATTTTTTTTTGGTTGCCACTGCACATTAAGCTGATATTTTTAGAGAACTATCTACCATGACTCTAAAGTTTCTTTCCCTGAGTCATAACAGCTAGTTCAGAAACCAGCATTTTGTATCAAGGGAGATTTGTTAGTCACTGAAATTGCAGTGGACTGAAGAACTGATGGTTGTTGTTTAGACCAATTGTTGGCAATGGGATTTGATACATGGATTTAATTTTGCAATATGCTTTGAAGAGACTGCTGGTGAACCATAATTAAGATACAACAGTGATTTCATTCATGTCTCCTTCTCCTCTCCCCCAATGGTATTATCAGAAACTACCACATCATAGTGCTGTTCTAGAACATTTTTAAAGCCATTCAAATTCACACAATTCTATTTTATCGAAAACATGGACACAATGTAATTTTGCAAATTAATTAATGAATTTTATACTGAATATTTTGTACCTTAATTTCCCCATTTAACTGAAGGGATTAAGTCAGTCTGGAGTCTGAATTGTAGTAATACATATTTAGCAAATAATTGTGACTATCCAATATACAGTACTTTAATTAAAAGATTTCTTTTCACAGCCTATGTTGAAAATAAAAAAAAGTTTCATCTTCTCTTTTGCAGCATGCTTAGATCACTTGCTTGAAACAGAATATGATCCCCCAACTATTAAATGATAATCCTGAAACATCCAAACAACTCAAAATGTAGGCAAGGCTTTTTGGGTAGATGTTATATCTTTTATTAGACTGACTAAATAGTTGGAAAAAAGGTCTTTGCAAGCTTTCAGAAACAAACACCCTTCGTCAGATGTAGATAGACTCTGCTGGTGTTGTGTTCTCCAAGGTAGAAAAGAAGCTAATTTATAACAAGCAAGTCTGGGAAAATGCAAATGAGTAGAAGTTGTGAAGACAATGGATAGCGATGGTGATGGGGGAGGAGGGAAATGTGTGAAGGAATGCATGTGGTCAGCTGGAGGCAGGTTACCAGTACCCGCGATTGTCACCATACAATTCTCAAAAGGGCTTTCACCCAACAAAGACACTCCTCCAGAGATAGATCACACTTTTGAAAGAGAAACCTGGATACCATGTGAAGAATTGATGCAGTACAAAAAGAAAATCCCCACAAAATGCACACCATTATTTATGACATACCATCCTTCCCTGGAACCTAAATGGAAAATCCTCAAAGAATTGCAACCCACACTAGAAGAAGTATGGGTTGCAGCTTAAAGAGCTCTTTCCAAAACCACCCAGATTAGCCTTTAAACAAGCACCTAGCATCACCAACCTCACCACCAGAAGCAAACTTTCTATGGCCCAAAGCACACTGAATGGATCTAGACCATGCCGGGACAAAAAATGTAGAACCTGCCAACACATCTCCACCATTCCCCACAATAACTACACCCCACAACAGAACCATCACCATTCCTGGATTTTACACCTGCACTTCCAGAAATGTCATATATCTTATGCAATACCCCAAATGTGATGATGGAAAATATGTAGGAGAAACCAAGCAACAACTGCACAACAGAATGAATACACACCAAAAATCCATCCAAGACGAAAAAAATCCAATTACCTTCTCACAAGACAACCACTCCCTCTCCAATCTCTCAGTTCTAATCCTCAATGGGAATGTACAAAACACCTTTTATAAATGAGCCTACAAACTTCATAAATCTACTGGATACAAAAAATCATGAACTATATATAGATATTAGATTTATGACACATTACAGCCTGCCTAACATCTGATACCCCAAGTAGCCTGCCTTTAGCTGACCACTTCCATTCCTTCACACATTTCTCACCCTTTCCCTCCTATTCAACATGTAGAGCAGTTAAGCACAGAAATGTATTTAATAAAATCTAACAGGCATACTGTAGTCAAATTAACACACACAAAATTTATTCCTAAAAAGATTCTATTCATAGTATGGGGGGGGGGGTGGAGCTTATCTAGTATTATTCTAATTCTAGAAAATTCCCCTCAGAGTTACCCCCTGTGATATATCAGTATTGAAATACTGCTGTTTCAACACAAGGTTTCTTAAAGATGCAGCTCAGTTTTTGTAAAAACATAATCATCCCTGGATTCATGGCATTCTCACTAAAGATAATACCTATATAAAATCAAAAGTTTAGATCAAAAGCCTAGTTAAAGGGAATTGAAACATTTATAACTCAGAGGAGTTGAACAGAAGTGTAGAGGCATTCATATTTGTGAAGAAAAAAAAAAAACTCTCTTGCAGGGGAGATCTTCCAGGTGTCAACCTGGAAGAATTTTCTCCCAAAAGGGGCATGTTTCTCCAGGAGAAATTGGGTCAGTTTTTGTACATTGCTAGTTTCCACCAAGAAAGTAGAAAAATAATGCCTTTGTGTGGCAAAGCCATACAAATCACTTGAAGTAACTGTTGTGTGAACCTCAGCAATTTATTGCCCAGTTACAGCTGGGGAAACATTTCATGCTAAATCAATTACCCCAAAACATTTATATTTGAATTGTCATAAACACATTTTAATAGTATTGATGTATGTATAGGTTGCTTAAAAATAAGGATAGAAAGCAAACCAGGAGTAGAGCTATGGCCTCTGGCACATCTTAGTTAGTATTAAATATACATATTGCTAATTTGTGACAGGGCTCTCCAACTTCTGAGTGGCCAGGGGCTTCAACCCCCCCAGCCACTCACAGTACAGACCACATGATCCCTGGGTTGCATGCCACATGGGCATCCTCTCACCTCCTGGATGCCCTCCTGCCAAGGTGGGCATCCAGATGGGCACCCCGCAACTACCAAGATGGGCACCCCCCCAACTATGTTGTGCCAGCACCCCAAAACTTTGCACATTGTGTTGTGTGGCCCTTTTATGCCCCCCATGCTGCACTCCTACACTGTACAGTGTCCCTGAGACCCCCAGCTTCAGGTTCCTTTGGCTGTACTTTGCCATTTGGCCCTGTCCCAAGGAATGAGGGCTGGAAGTAGAAGGTAGAAGAAGGGGGAGCCCAGTGACTCCAGTGGAGGCAGCAGGAGCTGTAATGGTAGTGAGGGGAGATACATCTGGACCAGGAGTCTGGGGGCTGCAGCTTAAACCCGTGGGGGCTGCATGTGGCTCACATGCCACCAGCTGGACTGCCCTGTCAGGTGGAATTCTTAAGTAAAAGCACCAAATAATCTAGGTCCAAAATCAGTGTGTTTATTAGGATCATAGAAAAGTAGGGTTGGGAGGGATCTCTGGAGTTCATCTAAGTCAATATTCTGCTCAAAGCAGGATCATCCCTTTCTAAAATATCTTAGACAAGATGTCATATGTCATAGATATTCAAAATATCATTGTACTTCCAATGTAAATTTTGCACATAAAATAGAAATATATATTTTTTTAAATCACAATTTTTGTTTGGACATAATACTTTAGTATGATCTGACTGCAATGTACCATTACAGTAAATGAGATTTTAATAAATTGGAGTGGTACAATTAATACTGAAATCTTTTTTAAAAGCTTTCTACGAAGGTAAAAAGGCAGGAAATGTAAAGATATGGACAAAAATCTTCCTAATTACTTGAAGACAGTTTAGGGCTTCCATTTGACTTAATAGTCTTGTTCTAGTTCAAGCTAAAGCTGAGTTATATGCAGAACCTTTGAAAACAGAGGGAAAAAACAATAATTAAACCTCTATTAAGCCATGCCTTTAGCTCATACACTATATGGTAATTTTGTCTTTTATTGGGTTAGCATTTCTCTTTTTCTTTTCCTCACATTTAAAACATTTTAAAATCATTTTAACATGGCACAGATTTTGTGTCCCTTTCCCAGTTCCTTTCTATTCAGGTACCATGTCAAGGAAATGCTTCTTTTCTGCTAAAAAAAAATTGTTGCCCCTTCTAACCCATCCTAGCCTTAGGAACTCCCAATTTTCCATCCAAAAAAGGAAAGCAGAACTAAATCTAATAGCTGTGTGATTTTAAATGAAAGACAAAAAGGGATGGGACTGGGTAGATAGTTTCATTCCTTAAATCATCTATTTACCTGATTTTCAGCACTATTACTGATATTATGAACAGGTGGATGTATCTCTCCATTTTGTTTTATTGTAACCATTGAAGGGCTTTTGGAAACTCCCAGTATTTTAGTTACTCTGAACTTGAACTGGTTTGGGTCAGACTAGCCATTGTGAAAAACTCTGATTGCTAGAACATCCTATAATAAAACAACATATACTAGGACCATGTCAAAAATTGATTTATCCAGTTTCAATTATTTTTGTTTAATTATTGGCTAAAAATAAATAAATATTCAGCCCTTTGTTTCCAGAACCGTTCATTTGGCTGTTATATGGGATGGCCGATATTTCCTGCTTCAGACTATACAACTATTTCTGTGTGTCATGTAACGGTATACCAAACTATTTCTTCTCTCCATGTGAGCACACATGAAATGGGAACAGCAGAAGAAGCTTTTCTCTATGCAAGAGCCAACCACAATTGCAGACCACCTTTAATTACAGACTGCTTTCTACCAGGCTTTCTTGATGAAAAAGGTAGCTCAAAAGGAGGGGAGAAAAAATGAAGCTGGCCATCCAGTAGCCCTTTCTGACAGGCACAAAAACATATTGCACACCTCAGAGAAAGAAGTGGAATAGATTCCTTCCTCCTGCATATGCATCAGTGCAGCCCTGACAAGATACTAACTAAACATAAAAAAGGAAGATTAGAGTTTTGGGTACTTGGGTACTTGATTAATTTCATTTCAATTGTAGATTTGCACCTGTACATTGTATTTTTTTACATCTATATGTAAACATTTCATTGCCAAATGTTAAGAGTCTTTCCCAGGTTTCCTCTCCTCCCACACTCAAATATTCCTGTTCAAACTAGAGGGCGAAATTGTATGCTGTACTGCATCATTAATGCACTATCCTGGGGTGATTCAGTACTCCATTGTTTTAGCAAGCCTCTAAATAAAGTTTCATTCCTAGTCTTTGGCTGTTTAGCTCAGCTGGCCTGTTTGGAGGATACCATACCTTCAAACAGGTCCCATGGGACTATATGCAATTTCTCTGACTGAGATTACTGGAAGTATGCAGGCTTTGTACTCTGGTAGGACAGGGAAAGCAATTGTCTTCAACTCTTTGGTTTATGTGAGGCAAAACTCCATGAAACTTTTCTGGTCCTTGTGTAGGCATGCAACAGCATGACAGAAACTTCTCTCCACCCCCAGTCCTGTTCTTATAGCTGTAACTGACTTTTTGGGGAGATTTAAAACATTTAAATAGGTGCTTCGCGCCTAGCCAAATTTTGGTCATTATGAATTTTATCTGGGTAAGGAGTGAGTAAATTCAAATTCTGATTGTCCAATGAGCTCTAGTTCAGTACTTTCACTCTGAGCCAGATCTGAACACCACTGAAATGGGTGGAACATACCTATAAGACTGGTGCAGTGACTCAAGGCTGCAACACTTTTAGTAATTATTTACTTTTTTTTTTAATTGATCTAATAGGCCAGGGGTGACTAGAGTTACTTACCCTGGGAGCCACATCCAATCCTCCACCAAAGTTCAAGAGCCAGAGAGCAGGCTGTGGGGGTGAGGGGTGCTGAGCAACCCGGAGTGGTGCTGCAATCTGCCTTCCCCCCCCCCCCCGCACCACCAAGCTGCCCCGGCTTTCCCTGCAGGAAGCGCACCCTGGGGTAAGCAGTATGGCTGCAGCCCCTGCCCCAGCAGCCCAGCATCTGAGCTGGCAGTCTCAGAGGGAGAGAAGGAGGGAGAAGGGTGGGCTTGGGGCATGCTCCCCAGTGGAAAAGCTGGAGAGGCATGAGGTGCTGGGCTGCACTGTCCCATGGATCCACCTCAGGGAGAAGTGGGTAGGGTTTTGGCCAATTTCTAGAGAGTTGCAAGTACCATATTGGCAAGCCACATGTGGCTTGCGAGCCACGGCGTTTGGCCACTGGGGCAATAGTGTTTGCAAGCCGGTAAACTAACAATTAAATACTATCATTTGGCTGGTCAACTGACTGCTATTATTTGATCACGGTCAAAAAACTACTAAATATTCCAGGAAGCCAAAAATGCCCTTGTATCACAGGCCCTTGTCACGCATTCACTTGTAACAGTTGCAAATCACTGGAATGTAGTGACCTATTAGTTTGTGTTAAGAGGTAACCTTCCTGGAAAGAGAACAACTCTGTGCTCTAACAGCTCAACATGCTGTGTAGGGGCTGGCTGGGGCATAAAGGTACTCCAGTATGGAGCTAAATAGTAGGCAGCCTCAGACTGAAGCACCCTTGTGCTCCAGCCAGCATCTACACATGCGTTGCTGTGCACAAAAAAACCCTCTCTGCATCAGGACAGTACTTGCATCTACAACTAGTAACCTGCTGCAGAGTTCATTAGTTTCCTGCAGCCTAAAAGAGTCATACATATAGACAGAAAGCATTTACTGTGAAGCTAATTAGGCAACTCCACAGTAAAAATCTCATGTAGATGCACCCACTGATAGTTATTAAATAAAAAAAAATAATTATTTTATGTCTGTGTTTACAATAACAGTGAATTATAATTTTTATGTAAAAGTAAATACTATTTTTTGTAATTACCATAAGTATCTAACCCACTGAAATTTACCTCTCTCTCTTCACTGTTCTAATAAATA